TCCGAACTAAGGCAACAGTGAGGACTACTACAACCTTAGTACTCCACAAGAGTTCTGCTTCAATTTATTATAATACTGATGACAAAGACCCATGTGTAAGCAAGTTGAGAGTCTATCATAATTCTTCCTTCCTCATATTGCTACATTCACAATGAGAGTTTATAATGCAGATATTATGGCAATACAAGACTAATATTCACACCTAAGATAAATAGTGTACTATGTACTACAAAAATGAAGTTAATATATACCCTTTTATACCTGAGTAATTCCAGTTAGACTTGTACAGAAGCTCGTCAGTTTTGGGTTAACAGATGGACGAACATATGAATGGAATTCACTGATGACTCTGCAACTTTTGGTGCATACTAAAACTCCTGGAAATTCTATAATCTCATGTCTGAAAAAAAGTGAAAAGTATAAGAAGGTAAGTATCAAGTTCATTACTGCCCTAAAATCCTGAAACAAATAAATGTGTGGACATGCAAGGGTAGAGATAAGGTTCATGGATGGTGTAGTGATACATAAGAGAGAAAGAAATGCTGAAGAGACAAGAGAGGAAGAGGAAGAGCAATATTAGATGTGCAATGACTGAACAAGGAGGGAAAATCAGAAGTACAGTAAATGCTTTAATCTAAAACGAATGAAGTTATACACAAATAACCCGCACATAAAAGAGAGAAGCTTACGACGACGTTTCGGTCCGACTTGGACCATTGACAAAGTCACACTAACCAGAGGTGGAGTAAGACGGCTATATGTAGGCAGGAAGAGGTGATGGTAGTAGTAGTAGTAGTAGTAGTAGTACAAGAATGGTATATAATACCGACACTAACATGTGCGGCATCTGGTTGTCTTTGTTGTGGACGTTTCGCCATCCAGTGGCTGGCTGGATGGCGAAACGTCCACAACAAAGACAACCAGACGCCGCACATGTTAGTGTCGGTATTATATACCATTCTTGTACTACTACTACTACTACTACCATCACCTCTTCCTGCCTATATATAGCCGTCCTACTCCACCTCTGGTTAGTGTGACTTTGTCAATGGTCCAAGTCGGACCGAAACGTCGTCGTAAGCTTCTCTCTTTTATGTGCGGGTTATTTGTGTATCGTTCCAGTCATGGTATTGTGCCTTTTTTGTTATTTATGGACCCCGCAGTTAAGCGTAATATTCTCTCCAACTTTTCTAATGTTCTTCCCTCTTTTAAACCCCTCTTTCGATCTTATGAGGCTGCTCTTATTGCTACCCGGCGTCGTAAGAATCCACTTCGCTTCCTACGTAACTGTCTTGATGAACAAGTTCTGCCACCTTCCTTCTCCCACTTCCTGAAAACCAACCCACTGGGCACTCCCTTTCCTGATCATGCCCGTCTCCTACTTCAACAGCTCATTCTTTCTACTAAATCACAGGTTAAAGATGCCTTCTTTACTTTCCGTCAACGTCAACGTGCTCTCTTTGCGGCCCTACCACAGGATCTCTGTAACCTTCTCTCTACCATTGCCTTTGACACTGCTCGCCTGAATACACAAATTCTTTCTTCCATACTACAGAATAAACTTCAACGTCTCATCTCAGCTAGCCCTTGGTCTAAATTCTCCCTCACTGACTGTGTTACTAACCTGTCTTCTGTCTCACTCTCTCAATATGAGCTTGAACTTCTCGGTTTTGGCCTTTCCTTTGCCACTTCGCCTACTCCTCACGCTAGTATTTCCCTGATTAGCTCTTTTGATTCCTTTCGTCAATCTCGCTCCCGTAATCTTCCTGACTTGTCCACTTTTTGTGGCGCTCTCCTTCCTGCTCTTGTTAGTCTGTTTTCTAAGAATCACCACCTTCCATGCCGTTACCAACTTGCCCTTTCTTCTCTTAAATCCAACACTAACATTGTCATACTATCTTCTGACAAAGGTAATTCAGTAGTTATCCTTGATCGCGAGGATTACCTCCGTAAAGCCGATGTCTTGCTCTCTGACTCACGTACCTACACTCCTCTGGTTTCCAACCCTCTTGATCGCATCAAGAGAACTTTCAACAAAAAACTAAGGACTCTCTCCGACCTCTGTCCTCCTGACTTTGACCTTGTTCAATGGTTTCATGTCATCTGTCCCTCTCTTCCCTATTTCTATGGCCTTCCTAAAACTCATAAACCTGATATTCCTCTTCGTCCTATCATATCCTCTAGAGGTTCTGTCTCTTATTCTCTTGCTTCTTGGCTGGCCAAAACCCTCACTCCCTTTCTTAGTACTTTTTCTCCTGCCCACCTCCGTCACTCTCAAGACTTCATTGAACAGGTTCGCTCTCTCCCAACCTGCAAGATGCTTAGTCTTGACGTTGAGTCCCTCTTCACCAATGTCCCTCTTGATGATGTCCTTGATTTCCTTAGAGAGAAGGCCCATGTAGGGGTTCTTCATCTCCCTATACCTACTGATGTCTTTCTTGATCTTATCCGCCTCTGTGTGGACTCTAACTCCTTTTCCTTCCAAGGGAAATATTATTCTCAAACCTTCGGTGTTGCTATGGGCTCTCCTCTCTCTCCTGTCCTTGCTAATCTTTACATGGAATACTTCGAGACTGTTCTTCTTCCTACCCTCGATGTGCAACCTTCACTCTGGCTCCGCTATGTGGATGACATCTTTGCTCTGTGGCCTCATGACTCCAGTCTCTTCCAACCTTTTCTTGAAGCTCTTAATAATCTTGCCCCTTCCATTAAGTTTAAAGCTGAATGGGAATCTAATTCCTTGCTTCCTTTCCTTGATGTCCATGTCCACCGCTCAGATACAGGTTTTTCCTTTTCCGTTTACCGAAAACCTATGCACAGTGGCATGTACATTCACTACTTTTCCTACCATGCTTCCCCTGTCAAGAAAAGTGTTCTTATCTCCCTCTTTCTCTGTGCCCTCCGCATCTGTGATCCTCAGTTCCTTCCAGCAGAAATTTCCACTCTTCATAATTCGTTTTCCCATCTTGGCTACCCTCCCCATTTCATAGACTCTGCCCTCTCACGTGCTAAAAGCAATTTCTTCTCTCCCAAACTCTCTACTCCTGGGAACTCTTGTATCCTCTGCCTTCCCTACATTTCCGGTCTTTCTGATCTCAACAATTCTCTCCATCCCTTAGACATCAAGCTTACCTTCCGCCAGACTAACACTCTTCGCACTAATCTCGTTCATACCTCTCCTCCCTCTACAGATGTTCCTGGTGTCTACTCTATTTCTTGCTCCTCCTGTCCTCTTCAATACTTCGGAGAAACTGGCTGATCTCTTTCTGGCAGACTTAAGGAGCACAAAAATAGTGTTAGGCTTGCCGACACTAACAATGCTCTTTTCTGTCACGTCAGAGATCATAGCCATCCTATTGACTGGTCTTCTGCTAAAACTGTCTTCCTACTTCCAACTCGAACAGTTGCCGTCTAGTTGAATCCTCTCTAATACACAACTTTCCTTGTATGAACCTTAGCCCTGGCTTCGTCTCTGTAGATGCCTTCCTCTCCCACTACATTGTAAAATGCTCCAAACTTCAGAACACCCATGACTTAACCTAACTCATTTTTTTTTTCTTTTTCTTTTTCTTCTTCTCCCTCTTCCCCTTTCCTTTTCTCCTCTGGGTTGTCTTTCTCTCTTCTGTCTCGTGTTTCTGTTCCTTCTTCATTTATTTCCCACTTCCCCTTTCACGCACCTCTGTGCGCTTGCTCTCCCTCAGTGGGCACCTAGCTCTCTTGCAGTGCTCCCCTTCCTTTGTATTTGACTGGCTCATCCTCCTTATTTCCCACTTCTACCACTACCACTACTACTACCTCTACTACTACTACTACTACTACTACTACTACTACAACTACTGATGAAATTAAGACACATGTGCGGCATCTGGTTGTCTTTGTTGTGGACGTTTCGCCATCCAGTGGCTGGCTGGATGGCGAAAAGTCTGCGATAGGGATGCCCGGGTGTTGCGCATGTGTCTTAATTTCATCTTGTCGGTATTATATACCATTCTTGTACTACTACTACTACTACCATCACCTCTTCCTGCCTATATATAGCCGTCCTACTCCACCTCTGGTTAGTGTGACTTTGTCAATGGTCCAAGTCAGACCGAAACGTCGTCGTAAGCTTCTCTCTTTTATGTGTGGGTTATTTGTGTATCGTTCCAGTCACGGTATTGTGCCTTTTTTGTTATTTATGAATGAAGTTATATAAATCTGTGCTTGTGACAGTGAACCAATTACAGTGGACCCCCCGCTTTACGATATTATTTCATTCCAGAGGCCTGTTCGGGTGCCGTTATAGACCGAATTTGTTCCCATAAGGAATATTGTGAATTAGATTAGTTCGTTTCAGACCCCCAAAAATACACGTACAAAAGTACTTACAAAAATACACTTACATAATTGGTCAAGTTGGGAGCTGATCGTAAGGCAGGGGTCCACTGTATACTATATTCATAGGAAGTGATAAATCAGTAGAAAACATGCAAACAGTGAACCTGTAAAAATTGCTGTAACAGTATATGTAGCTCAATTTCATTAAAACTTCACTGAGCACTTGGAAAGAGGGAATGCTACACTTAGTGGCACCACAATTGAGGAGACCCAAAATTCTTTGAGACTTATTTGTGAACAGTGTGGTATACATAATTCTGTGAGGCTGAGGGACTGATGACCTCTTGTTTTACAGTCTTCTGTTTATGTTCCAGTATTGTACTGATAAAACTGTTGGATGGGAAAACATCTACAAAATAAAGGTACCGAGATGTTGCATATGTGTCTAATTCATCATCATTAACTTAAAATGGAGTGCAGTGTTCAATGTAGGGGTAGTCAGGGTTGAGAGAATATAAGGATTTTTTTTTTTACGTCAATAGCCATATTTCACTAATGTAAGGTGACCCAATGAAGGGAACACATTCACCATCATTCATAATTCAGATCACAATCCAAATATAACATCCCCATCCCCTCCTTCAGAGTGTAGGCACCGCCCTTCACATCTCCAGGACTCAAGTCCAGCTAACCGGTTCTCCGTGAATCCATTCATAAATGTCACCTTGCTCACATTCCAACAGCATGTCCATTAAAATACACTTGCCTCCATTCTTTCCTATTCAACATATTCACACAAGCCTGCCAGATGCTCAGTCCTCTAAAATTCAAAGCCTTCTGTTTCTGGAATGGGAATGACCCCTACCCCTCCTACTTTTGACTTAAGATTTATACAACCTCTCCGTCCTTTCTGCATGCCCAAACCACCTCCACACCTCCTTGGTCATCTGAATTCTATCCAAGGTGACCCCACAAAACTTTTTAATTTCTATGCTCCAAATTCTCTGCATGACAGTCACACCATAGTGTGTTCTCAAACATTACAGCTCCACTGTCTCTAGACATCAATCTCCTTGCATATTTTTTAGAAACATTACTGAATGGTTAAATTTTTAGATTTTTGAAAAATAAACCTAGGTTTTTATAGTGTATTAGTTTTTATAACAGAAAATATTAATATACATTGACTTTCAAAACATAACTATAGTACAAAAGGGTCCCGCTTCACGGCTTTTCACCTTATGGTGTTCTGCTAATACGGACATTTCAAATTATGACCCAAACTCTCTATACGGCTCTCCCACCTGACTTTCTAATACAGCCACCGCGGGCCACCCAGTTTGTTTACATTCTCCGTGAGCACAGCTCTCCATTATGTCTGGAAACTTTCCAAAATTTCAAGTGTTTTAAAGTTATTTCATATTTTATATACGTACTCTACTATGATAATTACACTTATGTGTACTTGTACCTAAATAAACTTACACACTGTGCTGGCATGCAGGTACACGTTAAAATCACTAAGAGTGTCTTATTAGTCTTGAAGATGCCATATTAATAATGATAATAATAATAACACAATAATAATCACTCTGAGGTGCATTAAACGTTGTATATTTTGTTAATATAAACATTTTCATTAATCCATCTATGATATTTTTTCAAAATCATATAATAAACATGCTACGTAACACAAATATGATAAATACACCCACAGTAGAATAAATTAACATAAATATGAGATGTTTTTCCAGTCGTCTTGTCAGAGTGTCAGAAAGAATAACGTTTTCTCCAGTTCAACACCAAGGGAAATGTGTACACAATAGTGTTACTGGGGGTAACTGTAGAAAATTATTCCTTTTGTATGCCTTCACTCAGTGTTATCCCTTCTAAAAATGGCATGTTACATGAAAATGGGAATGTGTTGCTCTTTATTTATTTTACTTTACCAATGTGGAGACAACTTGTACACAATGTAAGGTGTTTGTATTATGGTATAAGATTTAAAAACATGGGAATGAACACGAATCAACCAAAACCAGATGCATTCATCTGTTTGTTTACATACTCTGCGGCTCTGTCCTCTCTCATTTACTCGTTCTCTCTCGCATTTACTTACCTCTCACCCTACATTAAAACTACAAATATTTTAAGGTAAATAATGAGTGTAATGTATATGCATTTTATCGCTCTGGGGTACTTTAAATGTCGCAGTATATTACGTGTGGGTGAGTTGACCAGGAGGGCTACCATACCTACCACACCTAACTTCTTACAATAAATACTGCTCACCTCTCGCCCTACATGAAGACTACAAATATTTTGAAGTAATGTGTGTACTGTGTATTTTACATTTTATTTTTTAATTTCTAGTTCTACTGTTAACTTAATATATGTTAGTTCTACTATTAATTTAATATATGATAGTGTAAACTTGTTATCTAGCATTAATAAGTGGAAAAAATAGCATTCTGCTTTCCGGCAATGTCCGCTTTCTGGTGGTAGCCTGAAACCTAGCCTGCCATATAAGTGGGGCCCTACTGTCTACACATGTTAATTGTAGCTTTGTGTTAAAGGTAAGTAAGTGTTTTAAGTCAATATGATGTGGGTCTGAAGGTAATGTATACAAATGAAATAAAACAGAAAATTAACAAAAAAAAAAAAAAAGGTGAAAACCATAAGGTGTCTAACTGATGGCAATACATTATTGCAAAGGTTATGGAGTTATTAGAACAATGAACTGATATAAGACAACAACTCTTAGCTTGTAAAATATATGGTAGGAATTCTCTTCCTAAAACAAGTCATTCTCAGATAGTTTATATTTGCAGTTCTTATTTACCTGTGGTAAAACTACTGTACTGTACATTAACTCTTTCAGGGTCCAGAGGCCAAATTTCAAAGTATGCACCAGGGTCCAAGAATTTTCAAAAAAGAATTTTGTTATTTTTTCTTATGAAATGGTAGAGAATCTTTTTCTGAAAATAATAAAACAAAAAGTACAAAATCTGATGGAAAACTGACGAAATTATGTTCTCGCGAATTTTGATGTGTCAGTGATGTTTATGCATCGACGATTTTGCCGACTTTGACTCCCCTTTTTGCCCAATTACATTATTCCAGTTGACCAAATTCTTAGCTATTTCACAAGTATTACTTCTATTCTATCGATTGAGCACAATAAATCGCCAAGTCAATTGTTTCAACTACAAAGTGAAGTGATCGGAAATTGGTAATTTGGCCAATTTAATGCCAAGTTCAAAATATTCCAATTTCAAAATAGAGTCCAGAATAAACAATGCAGGCATCCCTGGCACTAAACTAACATTTGCTCTGTTCATTAGTTACATTTTCAGGTTTTACAAATGAATTCCATTTGGAATTTTTATTCACATATTGAATTTTTATTCAAACCAAAAAAATAGATTTACTATTATGCAATATTGTAATAACTGTATAAATAATATCACCACATTTATGAATGTATATCAGACCCACCAGCTGGTGTGTATTAGATATGTGAGGTCATTTGTTTACTCTTGAACACTGGCAAAAATTTAACATTTCCGCTACTTTGAGCTCAGTTTCAAGCCATTTTCAGTACTAAAACCAATCAAAATCATCTCTATTTCTGTAATATATCTTCCATTCTATCAAATGAGACCAAGAAATTGCAAATACAACTATAAAAAACATACAAAAAATTCTGCAAAGTCCCTGTTGTAATCGAAAATTATGGTCTCAATTTTTTTTTCTCTCATTATGCACTGTGTGCTGCAGGATGTTTTATGTGGTGCACACATACCACATAGATGTATTCTCTCATATCTAGGCCCAAATTTACCTCTCACAGCTTATCAGAGTGAGCTGAGCTCATGGCGTAGATCTACGGATTGGACCCTCATAGTAAAGCCGTAGACCTACGGCATGGACCCTGAAAGGGTTAAACTCTCTAAAACAAATGTAATAAACATATGCAACTAAGCATGAATTAATATAATTTACCTATAATTGTGAGGATCTGTGTTATCACAGGTAGCCTCAAAGTCTATAATCACATAGTTGTCATAATAGAGTTGCCTAAAACCTGGGTCCTCAATGTTTTCTTCCTGTAACTTTTGAACTTTATAATATGTCTTCAATCTCTTCTGTAGGACGGATTTCTTGCCATGAGTATCCAGGTGTAAAGATCTCAGCCTTGCTGAAATGACAATGCAATAAAAACAAATAAGAAAGGTTAGCATATGGGTACCATATAAATTATATTTTTTTTAAACAATTTCTCATCAAACAGGAAATTCAAAAGTACGAGAGATATAGGAGTAAGGTTTCAATACTATCAATGAAAAGCAGGAGTGCCATAAGTACAATTAGACAACACCCTGTCAACATCATGGCACAAGACTTTTCAACCTCCTACTAGATAGTTTTTTTTTTTTTTTAACAAGTTGCCCGTCTCCCACCGAGGCAGGGTGACCCAAAAAGAAAATCCCCAAAAAGAAAATACTATACCTCAATGCACCACTCACCGTTTTTCCTTCATCAATTCTATGGTTAACCTCATCCTTCATAAATCCATCCGCTGACACGTCAACTCCCAAATATATGAAAACATTCCCTTCTTCCATACTACTCCTCTCCAATTTGATATCCAATTTTTCTTTATCTAAATCATTTAATACCCTCATCACCTTACTCTTTTCTATGTTCTACCTTTACACACTCTCTCAAACTCATCCACTGACCTTTGCAACTTTCCTTTAGAATCTCCCATAAGCACAGTATCATCAGCAAAAAGTAACCTTGTTGGTACTGTATACAGTACCATTACCATAAGGAAAGAGGTTTGAGATATAGGAAGACAAATAGGTATAAAAAATGCAAAGCTTTTAACTTTAGCCTTGTTTCTTACCTTTTAACTGGTCCATCTTTAATTTGTTTATCTCTCCATTTATTCTAGACAATTCACGAAAAATTGGGTTATCATATGGTGATGGGTCCTTATTTGTCGACTCCATAGCATCATTCTGAAAGTATCACCAACAGAATACAGCACAACACTTCTAATGATAAAAAACTTAGCTTCATAGTTCATTTAAATTGTGAAAAATAAAGGCTGAAGGCTGGCAATTTTAATGTGCTATATATTATACCTCTCTCTCTCTTGACATTTCTGATGTCTTGTTTCAGCATATATTTACCTCCACTTGTTTGTTTATCCCGAAGGCAAATGAGATCGCAAGTACTCGAAGATGTTGAGAAGTTATTGTTGGTGTCGACCACTGAGAAACAATTAGCAGGAGATAGTCTTATGCAGTCGATTATTTGTGAAAAGGCAAGGCAGCATGACGATCTCGTAAAGAAATTGCCTGCAACAAGTACTGATATTTGTGATATTAAGGCCAGCAAAGGCTGGTTTGAAAGATTTAAGAAATGCAGTGGCATACACAGTGCGATAATGCATGGCGAGGCTGCCAGTTCTGACAAAAATGCAGCTGAAAAATTCGTAAGCGAATTCAAGGAGTACATACAGACTGAAAAATTCAAACCCCAACAAGTATTCAAATGTGACAAAACAGGCCTCTTTTGGAAGAAAATGCAAGGGGGACCTACAATACTCAGGAGGAAAAGGCACGCCAGGACACAAGCCTATGAAGGACAGGCTAACTCTTATGTTTTGTAGTAATGCTAGTGGGGATTTCAAAGTTAAGCCTTTACTAGTGTATCACTTTGAAAATCCCAGAGTGTTCAAGAAAAACAATGTCGTCAAGAGTAAATTGTGTGTGTTTTGGAAAGCTAATATTAAGGCATGGGTCACGAGGGACATTTTCCTTGACTGGTTCAATGAGGAGTTTGGTCCCAGTGTGAAGAAATACCTCCTGGAAAATATATTGGAACTCGAGTGCCTCCTGTTAATGGACAATGCACCTGCTCATCCTCCAAACTTGGATGACCTAATTGTGGAGGAGTTTGGTTTTATCACAGTGAAGTTCTTGCCCCCTAATACCACTCCTCTCCTCCAGCCCATGGACCAGCAGATCATTTCAAACTTTAAAAAACTCTACACAAATGTTTCAAAAGTGCTTTAATGTGACCTCAGACACTCAACTGACCCTGAGAGAGTTTTAGAAAGATCACTTCAGTATCCTCCATTGCATAAACATTATAGGTAAGGCTTGGGAGGGAGTGACTTCCAGAACTTTGAACTCTGCTTGGAGAAATTTGTGGCCAGATTGTGTCCAGAAGAGGGATTTTGAAGGGTTTGGGGCTGACCCTGAGGACCCTTTGCCAGTTGTGGAATCTACTGTGGCATTAGGGAGTTCCATAGGGTTGGATGTGAGTGGCGAGGATGTGGAAGAGTTGGTGGAGGACCACAACGAAGAGCTAACCACTGAAGAGCTGCAAGAGCTTCAGCTGGAACAGCAACAGACCACAGCTCAGCATGTTGCTTCAGAGGAGGAGGGAGAGAGATGGATGAAGGTGCCTTCTTCAGAAATTAAGGAGATTTGTGCAATGTGGAGTAGGATGGAAAGATATGTGGAGAAACATCACCCTGACAAAGCTGTTGCAAGCCATGTTGGCAACATGTACAATGACAAAGTCTTGTCCCATTTTAGGGAAATTTTAAAGAGATGCCAGAAACAGAGCTCTCTGGACAAGTATTTAGTGCCACAGGTGTGCAGTGACTCTCAAGCTGGTCCTAGTGGCATTAAAAAACAAAGAAGGGAAGTAATCCCAGAAAAGGACTTGGTACCTGAAGTCTTTATGGAAGGGGATTCTCCTTCCAAACAGTAATTAATCCAACCTCTCCCCTCCTCTAGTCTTCCATACACTAAGAAGAATTGCCAATAAAGGTAAGTGTTATGCTGTTAATGCTTCATTCTTCATGTCTCATTGTTGTCTGTGTATGTACATCTATATTTCATGTAAAAAAATTATTTTGTTTTAACCCTTTCAGGGTCCGTCCCGTAGATCTACGGCTTTACGTTCAGGGTCCAAACCGTAGATCTACGCCATGAGCTCAGCTCACTCTGATAAACTGTGAGTGGTACATTTGGGCCTAGATATGAGAGAATACATCTATGTGGTATGTGTGCACCACATAAAACAGATCCTGCAGCACACTGTGTATAATGAGAGAAAAAAAAATGAAATCATGATTTTTTGATTAAAAACGGGCCAACTTTCCCAGTTTTTTTTTCGTATGTTTTTTATAGTTGTTTTTGTTTTTTTTGGGTCTCTTTTGATAAAAGGGAAAGAATATTACAAAAAAAATAGAGATGTTTTTGTTTGGGTTTTTAGTTTAAAAAATTTGGTTTAAAAACCTGGCTAAAAAGTAGCGGAAAAATGTTAAATTTTTCCCGATATTCAAGATAACAAACGCCCTCACAATTTCTAATACAGGGTCAGCGGGGTGGGTCAAATATACTTTTCAAAATGTGGTGATGTTATTTATAAAAATTATTACAGTATTGCATAACAGAAAATCTTTTTTTTTTTGGTGTGAAAAAAAAAATTCATTATGTGAAAAAAAAAAAACCAAAATGGAATTTTTTTGTAAACCCCTAAAAAAACATAACAAATGAACAGGGGAAAAAATGTTATTTTGGGCCCAGGAATCCCCTACTTTGGTTCTTTCTGGCCCCTATTTTAAAAATTGGATTTTTTGGGAACTTTTTTGAAAAAATTGGCCAAATTAACAATTTCGTCACTTTATTTTGTAGTTTGAAAAAAGTTGACTTGGCAATTTTTTTGTGCTCAATCGATAGAATAGAAATAAAAACTAGTGAAAAAGCTAAGAATTTGGTTTATTGGAATAAAGTAATTGGCCTAAAATGGGAGTCAGAGTCGGCAAAGATCGCGAGATTCGTATATATCGCTGACACATCAAAATTCGCGAGAGCATAATTTCGTCAATTTTCCACCAAATTTCGTACTTTTTGTTTTATTACCTTCAGAAAAAGATTCTCTACGATTTCATAAGAAAAAATAACAAATTTTTTTTTTTTAAATTCTTGGACACTGGTGCGTGACTCCAGATTTGGGCCTTGGACCCTGAAAGGGTTAATACTTCTGGGTGTCTGGAACGGATTAATTGTATTTACATTATTTCTTATGGGGAAAATGGTTTCACAAATCGCCAATTTCGATAATAGTCACACTCTGGAACGGATTAATTACGAAAAATGAGGGACCACTGTACTCATTGCAACAGGGTTAAATCAAGGAATAAATGTTTGCAAAGCAAAAATTGTAAGGAGCACCTCCTACCACCATGCTGTTCAAAAGCAATAACAAATACAGCATGCTAGATGAGCATTTTCGTACCTCGTCATTTATTGTCATGCATTTGTTTGATAACCGTGTACTTTATGAATTTTTACTTTTACAATAACTTGTATTCATTCGTTCAGTTTCCAACCCGCTTATTCCAGTTCATGGTCACAAATGGCAGGAGCCTATCCTGGCACCTCAAGGCGCAAGGTGGGAACCAACTATGAACAGGACACCATTCCATCACAGGGTGCACTCACACATACCCACACTCACTCATAATGGGACACTTTAGACAGACACACACATCTTTGGGATATGGGAGAAAACTGGAGTACCCAGAGAAAACCCATGCAGACATAGGGAGAATGTGTAAACTCCACAGACACTGGACCAGCCGGGAACTGATTTTTTTCTCATTATAACAAAATGACATTGAACAAAACGACATTGAGCACTCACTGTACATTCTAGAATAATGATGAAAAGTATGGTACATAAATACATAAACCAGCAACATATTGTTTATTATGATTATCAAATATGTATTATACAGTACACCGTACATAATTGTATGTACAGTAGGGCCCCACTTTTCGGCATTTCACCTTACGGCGTTCCGCTAATATGGCGATCTCATATTATGACCAAAACTTTCTACATGGTAAGCGGTAATACGGCGCGTGCCACTCGGTTTGTTTACATTCTCCATGAACACATCTCTCTATTATGTAATAATAATAATCACTCTGGGGCACATTAAATGTCTAATTTTACATCAATATAGACATTTTCATTAATCCATCTATGATATTTTCTTCAAAATTATATAAGAAACACATTACAAAGCATATAAAAATGTTTATATGCTATGGAGGTGTGGCTGCCAGGTGGAGGGAAAACATTACGTAATACTAATAATAATCACTCTTGGGTACTTTAAATGTTCTATTTTACGTCAATACAGTGGACCCCCGGCTTACGATATTATTTCATTCCAGAAGTATGTTCAGGTGCCATTACTTAACGAATTTGTTCCCATAAGGAATATTGTGAATTAGATTAGTCCATTTCAGACCCCCAAACATACACATACAAACGCACTTACATAAATACACTTACATAATTATTCGCATTGGGAGCTGATCGTAAACCTGGGGTCCACTGTATAAACATTTTCATTAATCCAAAATTATATAAGAAACATGTTGCATATAAACATTTTATGTTTATATATTATGGAGGTGTGGTAGCCGGGCGGAAGAATACATTATGTCACTCCCCTTAATACATAACACACTTGTTTACAATTCTCGGCATGAATTATTCATTACTTCTCCCTTTGTTTATGATGGCATCTAAAGCTAGTTGTTAGAAACGATTAACCTCAGCGCATATGGTATGTCGATGGTAATAATATGGCTCTGGGCCACATTAAGTATCGTATAGCTATGTAGGTAGGTGTAGGTATGTAGCCCAGACGGACTACATACCTACATTATTATTATAACTGATAATTGTATGTATGTGTCATTTCTTCTAAAAATTGTGTTACATGAGAATGGGAGTGTTCCTCTTTATTTATTCTACTGTATCAATGTGGAGACAACTGGTGCACAATGTAAAGTGAGGAAAACCAGATGTGTTCATCTGGTTTGTTTACATTATGTGTGTATGGGGTGGGGAGGGCTTCCCTGGCTGGCTACCATACCTCCCAAACCTGACTTCCTACAAATTAAACTCACCCCTCACCCTATATTAAGACTACAAATATTTTAAGGTAATTAATGGGTGTACTGTGTGTACACTTTACTTTTTATTGTTTTTAATGCCTAGCTCTATTGCCCACTTAATATATGTTAGTGTAAAATTGTTACCTGGCATTTATATGCATTTATAAGTGGAAAAAATGGCGTTCTGCTTTCCGGCGATGTTTGCTTTCCGGCAGTAGTCTGGAACCTAACCTGCCATGTAAGTGGGGCCCTACCATACGATAGTACATAATTTTTACGACAGGCAGCACAGTAGGTTTGTTTACACCACCATTGTGTATGTGGTCTGTCGCTGACCAAAACATTGTTATGCAGTGCATGACTGTGTGTTTTATCAGTCTCATTTATAAAAACTTATTTTTCCAAAAGAAATGAAAAATTCATATTATCCAGATTTTTTTTTTTACGGTCCACTTGCCCTCTTTAGGATATGGCACCCACCATTGTACATATAATGTGTAATGCAATAATTTTATTACGCAGTACGGTAACAGATTTTTTATTAAGAAAATCAAATATTTATGTAATGAAGATCATCCTCCCCCCAAAAATAGTTCCTATTATTTTAAGAGGCTAACACTGCTTTGTTTTAATTGAATTGAATTTTATGACCCATTAGGAATATTTTAGCTTTAATATCAATACATAAAAGGCATTATCAAGATTTTCCTTAAAAATTAGAGGAAATATAGGGACCCTTTAATAAAACTACACACTGTAAAAATAAATACCAATTGCACCATAAGACTTTTGCTGATTAAACTGTTAATCTTTTTTTTTTTTCTTAAGAATCACTCATAACATACCTCATTGTCTTCCGCACAGCTGGTGCTGTTGCGAGCCTCAGTATCTGATGGATCACAAGATTCTGTTGGGTCACTACAACTGAAAGATTGTGCTCCCAGTGATAGAGAATCTAATGTCACGTCTGTTTCCACATTTTCACTGTAGATGGGCTTCGACTTTGCAAACAATGGCAGTTCAGTACTAGATTTCAATTTAACACTGCAGTGGCTGCATTCAAGTTTGGAGTGAGGATTACCTGAAACACCTCCAATTTCACAACACACAGCTTCAGTTCTAGATTCGAGGTTCTGACTGCAACTGCTAGATTCATGATGTACAAGCTGAGCATACTTTGAAGTTGTGTGTGCCTTGTGGCACTCAGGTTGAGAACCCATAGCTGTAACAGTAGTTTTATCTCTCTCAGTTTCCATGTTCACTAGTCTTCCCATACAGGGATGATTGTTTCATCACACAATCTTGTTTTTGTGCAATACGTCCACTCCAAGTCTGTCCAAAAGCAAAATCAGAAGTGATGTTGTTTACCCCACAAACTGTATATTAAAATAAATATATGCAATTAAATTAGTGCATTATAGTAATTTACAAATTCAGGGAAACTAACAAATACATAATAAGAGAAAGCTATTAAAAAAATTAATGTTAAATTGAAATACAACATCACAAAAGTAAATATGTACATATGTAAAAGAGGAAGTAATTATACAATAATGGTTGAAGTGATTACATTTAAAAAAAATTAAGGAACAAGGTGTATTTATAACTGGAAAGTAAAAGTATAATGACAATTTAAGGAACTACTGCACATTAAAAAAAAATGGGGGACAATCTTTTGAAGTTTTTACTTGAATTTCCTAAGTTACCAAGTTTTTTAAATCATCTGGCAAGTTATTCCACATATTTTAAATTTTTATTTGCATTGACTTTCCATAGAGATTCATGATGCCTGTTTGTTTTGCTTCAGCTTTCCATTATGATGTATGTAGTGTTTTGAAGAGGAGGTGTGAATGGCTGCCAGGTAAGTATGTATGGCACTAACATTTAGCAGGTCTAGGGATTTGAATAGGGAGGATAGTGTTTCCTAAAATTTTAGTTAGTGGTGGTTCTGATATCTGTGTTTTGTTATGTGATAATTAGTTTGATGTGGATAGTTGAGATAAAACTCCAGACATAAACTGCATAGGTGACATATGGAGTTTTTGGGTAAATAAGAGAAAGAAGTACTGCCATGTGCTTGAAGTATAGACTGGAAAACATAATAGCAAATTTTGGAGAGTATACTTACAGTTCTTTTATTTTTTTTTTTTTTTAACCTGAGATGGATATGAACATTGAATTTTAATTTATTATCTACGGGCAGATCTAGAACCTGAACCTCATTTATTTCCTCTACTTCAGATTCCTTAATGTTGATGTTTCATCATGAACATAATTTATTCCAAAAAATTACAGCCTCTCTTCACTCAGCGATGTACAGTGGACCCCCGGTTAACGAACTTTTTTCATTCCAGTAGTATGTTCAGGTGCCAGTACTGACCGAATTTTTTCCCATAAGGAATATTGTGAAGTAGATTAGTCCATTTCAGACCCCCAAACATACACGTACAACCGCACTTACATAAATACACTTACATAATTGGTCGCATTTGGAGGTGATCGTTAAGCGGGGGTCCACTGTACTTGTTTACCGACAACTTGGACTTATGATGGGCTCTCTGACCAGTATGCATACCTAAATAATGTATATAAGAGCTGATTTCCTCTGTTCTTTTTATTACAATATACGTACAGTACACTACTGTATAAACATTTAATCCTTTGACTGTCGCAGTCGTACATATACGTCATGGGAGATACCGTGTTTGACGTATCTATACGCATAAATTCTAGCGGCTTCAAATCAAGCTGGAGAGGGCTGGTAGGCCTACACGAGAGAGAATGGGTCTCAGTGGTCGGTGTGCACCCTGTGAAAATAATCTGGGACTCAGCGGTGCATTGTGGGAACGCCATCTTGGTAGTCCATTTTCACCATGCCTCGCAGTAAGAAGTTCCTCACTCCTCGGCGGATTGGAGGTCTTTTGTTCCCAAGTGATAGCTCAAACAGTGATGATAGTGTCAGTGAAAGTGAATTCCCTGGTTTTGAAGCGGGTGTGACCGAAAAAATTACCCAGGATAACATAATTAGTGATGAAAACCCAGATGACCCACAACCCTCCACCTCTGGTGCTGGGCCGGCTCGTTCGTGTTCACCTGTACCAGGACGAAAGAGGAAACTATTTGCCCGTGTACAAGACTCAGATGTGAGCAGTGCAAGTGATAGTGATAGTGATTTCAAGGTTATTGAAAGCAGTTCTAATTGTGACAGTGAGGGTGAATATTCCCCAGTGAAGCGGCAGTATATACTACGTCGCATGCGGTCTGGTAGTGTGCCATATGCTCTTCCAAGAGGAAGGAGTACATCTCGGAGCACATCCCGTGGCCCTATGCCACATCCTGATAGTGAAGATGACGATATTGTTACGATGGGTATCAATGATGCAAGTGAGACAGCAGGCGGTGGTGGTGATAGTGATGGTGGCATGAGTCATGTGACACCAGCAGCAGGCCACGCTACTACCCGCGCTGCTGACTCTGCACAACTACAACCAACCTCACCCGACCCCACACTCCCACAACCACAACCACAACCTGCACAACCACAACCACATTACAATATTCAGAATGCACCAGCTGACCGCATCTGGGATTGGCACCAAGATGACGAGTTTGTTCCCAATCCCCATGACTTTGATGGAGGACAAAGTGGAATATGGCCATCATGTACACTTGGGAACAATCCCACTGAACTGGAATGCTTTCAGTTGTTCTTCGATCAACCCCTGATGGACATTATTGTCAGGAAAAGCAATACATACTATGAGTACACCATGGCAAACACTATTCTGTCACCAAGATCACGCCTACACCAGTGGAAGGACACAACTGTGGCAGAGATGTATCTGTTCTATGCCACAATAATGCTTATGCCACATGTGTATAAGCATAGTGTCAACACATACTGGGCGACAGACCGCCTGATTTCAACCCCTGCTTTCAGTGACATTATACCAGTGAATAGATTTGTGTTACTGTTACGTATGTTACACTTTTCAGACAAAACCAGGCCTGACAGAAGCGACAGGTTATATAAGATCAGACTTGTGTTTATGTACCTGAAACAAAAGTGCTGTATGTATTTTTATCCCTTCAGGAAGCTTGTTATTTACGAGTCTTTGATTTTGTTCAAAGGAAGACTCTCATTCAAGCAGTATATACCAAGCAAGAGGAAACGCTTTGGTATAAAGTTATTTGTTCTGTGTGATTGCAGAACTGGTCTGGTTTTGGATATAATTGTGTACACTGGCGGTAAAACAATGGAAGATACCAGAAAGTTACTGGGTATCTCTGGTGATGTGGTTAGAACAATGATGGAGCCATATCTTGGTAAGGGGCATATTTTATATACTGACAACTGGTACACAAGCCCTATACTCAGTGATTTCTTGCGAGTGAACATGACAGATGTGTGTGGCACAGTGCGTAGAAATTGTAAACATATGCCTAGGTTCGATGCTGACAGTCGTAGAGGTGAAGTGCAGGTGTTTGCTGCCAATGACATCATGGCATTTCGGTGGCATGACAAACGTGATGTCACACTGCTGACATCAGTTCACCTACACGAAATGGTAGACACTGGCAAGCAGAATAGAGACCAATGAACCCATTGTAAAACCTGCAGCTGTGATGGATTACAACCTCAATATGCACTTAGTGGACAAATGTGACATGCAGATTGGTGCGGGTTATTTGTGTATCGTTCCAGTCACGGTATTGTGCCTTTTTGTTATTTATTCATGCAGATTGGGTTTGCTGACTGTTTGCAAGAGTTATAAGTGGTACATAAAACTGTTTTTCCATCTTCTTGACATTTCCATGCTGAATGCTTATAATATGTATAAGTTGAAGACCAAGAAGAAACCCAAATATGGTGAATTTTGTTTGCCAGTCATCAGACAAATAATATTCAAGTACCAAGAAACAACACCTGCAATAGACCAGCGCCCACGAAATTATCAACACATGTCCTCTCGTCTGAGGCCTGGTGATCACTACCCCATACCACTGCCTGCTACTACTGCCAAGAAAAATGCTCAGAAGAGGTGTTTTGTCTGTGGACATACCACAAAACGCCCACAAAAACGCAGAGACACTCGTTTTATGTGTGAGGAGTGTAAGACACCATTGTGCTTATACCCATGTTTCAAAGAATTCCACAAGCTGCAGCACTTCTAGAAAAGTGTCCAGTGATTGTACATATGTATATATATTATAAAACAATCATAATAAACATTTGTTTACATTGTTTGTTTGTGCAAACAAGTTTTAGCAACATTATAATGATACGAGTGTTTTTGCTATAATTGTGTTACATTCAACGAGTGTATATTTGAACATTGCACAATAATTCGGTCTCACAGGCCACAAAAGTTATGTGAAAAAATAAAATAGTGAAAAAAACAAGAAACCATCGAATACAAGTAAATCAAAGCTTACTGGGTGAGCGGCAGTCGCCACTGTTGCCGCTCGCAGATCAATTTCAGCAAACTTCAGGACTCTATATCTCGGTAAGTACTGATGGGAATTTTTTTTTTGGGGGGGACTAAAACAATCAAAAAAATAATCTTAACATTTTCATAAAGAAAAAATAATTTTTTTTTTTCGAATATTTTGCAACACCAGGAGACACTTCAGGATTGGGCCTTTCGACAGTCAAAGGGTTAAAAATGTACTAAAAATGTTGTTATTATTATAATAAAAAAGAAGTGCTAAACCAGCTAAAAATATAAAAAGGTGACATTAAAACAATATCAAAGATGGTTGACACAAATCCACCACCATTATAGTATGCACCTTGCTTAGCGACGAATTCGTTTACTGACGTGTTCTTAGGAACAGAACTCCATCGTTAAGTGAGGAGAGGCTGTATATATACTTTTCAATGTTCTTTCTGTATTAAGGGTGGGCTTATTTATTATCATCCAGATGTAAATGCTTTTTGATTCTTCATTACTCAAGGCCTTAGGAGGTCAGAGCATGATCACAACAGTGATGACAACAATGATGATGGTGATGATGATGATGATGATAACTAATAATAATATTTATTTCTACATGAGACAACTATTACCGACCTAGCTAACATCATTGGCATACTACACAGAAAGCCCCTGGTTGCAGAGCATTTCAGGCAACTCAGGATAATCTTCCTCCCTAGGAAGCAACCCACAAGTTGTATAACTGAAAGCATTGGGATGTGGCTCAGGTTGTGGTACTAGTCTTTGGCTCATGTCTTAAGAACCTGGGTTTAGTTCTGGCACAGCTGGAGACACTGGGCAAGTTTCCTTATAAATGATGCCCCTGCTCACCCAACAGAAAGCAGGTATCTGGGTTAACATTAACCCACTGCTGTGTGTTCCCAGCAATACAAGACATAAGGCACTCTTTGACATCCCTCGTGTCAGTCTCACACTATATAATAAAATAATAATATAATATCTTTATTTCTACAAGTACATGTACAAGGTATACAGGCCTAACTGACATCACACACATACTACATATTGAAAACCACTTGTTATGCAGAGCATTTCGGGCACATTAGGTCAGTTATGTCTCAGGATGCGACCCACACCAGTCGACTAACACCCAGGTACCCATTTTACTGATGGGGAACATAGACAACCAGTTTAAGGAAACACACCCAATGTTTCTACCCTCGCTGGGAATCGAACCCGGACCCTCATCGTGTGAAGCGAGAACTTTATGTGCATTGCAAAAATGCAATGACCTCTAGTCTATTAAACATCTTCCAATCCATGAAATATTACTGCTTGAATCATTAATTGTAATATTGTTTTTATTATGCACAACTTCAAGATTAATATTTATGAACCTCCACCTTGACTACCTCGCATTAGTATTAAGATTAAATAAAGATTTTAATGATAGTTAACCACTATCAGCTTGTCTAGATTTAAGTAGTTATTATGTACTAGGATTAGTCTGCATAATAGTGGTTTTCTTTGTACTTAGCAAACCAAAATTGTAATTACACATTGTAACCTTTACAAAGAAATAAAATCGTTATCTTTATCAAAGGGGATCAAAGAAACAATGTAAATAAGCCAGTGGCTTTTTGGTTACCCTGGGTTATTATATGCTTGGTTTAGTAATATGAATAAAATTTTCGTCCTAAATTATGTTGCTGGACAACTGGTGGTTATAACATATTGACGATCAAAATGGAAATAAAATCACTTTGACTATTTGGGTTATCCTAGATAATTTACACTATGTATGATAATTGTACTTATGTGTACCTGTACTTAAACTTAATTACTTCCTGGATAACATCATCAGTGATGTTGCTGGACACCAACAAAAAATTGTAAGATAAATCATTTTATGAAAATTACTTAATTATCTCTCGAGGACCTAAGGATAGTTGAAAAACTGCAAATAATACTCTGACCTCAACAACTAAAATATAAATTTGCAATAAATAACCACGTGTAATTTGCAACATTTGAATTTTAAATTTCCATAATATTAGGCGCTATTATCAGAATGAAAGGGAATCAATAGTAGCTATGGAATAAAAAGTTGTGTGGATGGTAGACTATCCCAGCGTTCACAACAGTTACCAAGATGTCTCAAGACACCACAAAGACGAGGATAGTTACAGCAAATTGTGAAAACTTGTTGTTGTTGTTGTTAGTGTTACTCAGGTTAAGGGCTACTGAAGCTTACGCCTTATTGAGGTCCGGGAAAAAATATATATATGAAGTTTAATGTCTTTATTATGCAACCCAAACCCATCCTGTGGGTGGTAGTCAAAAGATTACAAAGGTACGTAATGGATCCAGGGACTGGACTCCAAAGTTTTGATAGCTAAACAAGTTACAAAGGTAATGCACTAGATCTGCTTACAAATTCCCTCATCGACGTAGACGGTGTGGAGGTGACTACCCTGCTCGAGGACCCACAAGACCAACCTATGTTGATTCAATTCAAATTCAAATTCAAAGTTTATTCTCTATAAGGATTACAATGCTGAGTTTACAGAATTTGGTTATTGTGTGATTTACATGTAGTAAAGTACCAATTACAGAGGGGGCCACTAGAACACCTAATGAAGATGTTATCTTCATTATAGAATAATAAGAAAATATTATAACCTTTATATTATAATAATAAGGTAAAAGGACCCCAATGGAAATAAGTCACTCTGACTTTTTTGGGTTATCCTAGGTTCTCTACACATATGCTGCTATGTATGATAATTCTATGTAACTGTATTTGTGTATACCTGAATAAACTTACTTACTTACTTACTTACTTGCATGGCTAGGCGTTTCGGGCACTTAGATTAATTCTTAAATTTGGTGACGGCAGACAGTTAATAGGCATGTGGGGGGGGGGGGGGTTGAAGTGTCAGCGGTAGTGTATTAAATCCACCACCGTGCACGATATTAATTATTACCATAGGGTATATGAGGGTAGGGTGGATTGTGTTCTATGGTGGATGTGAGCCATCAGGTTCAGACATTCCTTGTATTATAGTGTCATCCGTTTAGCTGGCTGGATTGTGTTTCTATATTTGTCATTCAAAGTTTATTCTCTATAAGGATTACAATGCTGAGTTTTTAATGCTTTTACAAATGTATAAGTATAAGAGATTTGTCACTGTGTATCTAAGGTGAAAGTGGCACGTTTTTCATGGGGGGGGAGTGTAAGCATTACTGGGTAGGTTCTATCTTTTTTTTTTTTTTTTTTTTTTTTTATATGACCACCTTTTCATGTGAAGCACAGTACGTACAAGCGGTGTTTGATTTGAGTGCAGCCGTTTCTGTCATTATATATGTGCTTCTTCAGTATTGTGTAGTCAAAGTTGATTATTGTTCACTACCTGTATCTTGTTACATATTGATTATGTATCCATATATTTTTGTACCTGAGTTTTAAATAAAATATAAAAAAAAAAATCTTAAATTTAAAATATTACAAATTATGAGGTAAGTTGGTATTATGGCTAAGTGACTAAATACTAGTTTGTGAGTTAGCAATGTGAATGCTTTTGTTTTGGCACAATACATAGTTTCAGTATTGGGGTATCACAGGCCACAGGAGAAGTATGAAAGAACATTCACACAACGACAGCAGAAGATTTAACAATAACCACTACCAGTGGGTCAACCAGTGGCGGGACGAAAACCTGGAAGACTTTCATCCAATACCATCAATAGACATCTTTCGAGAACGACCAACCTCTCACTAGATCAATTACCCTCAGAGAGATGTCCCAAGTCATTGGCCGAATGAGAAATATAGCACCTGGCCATCAGGCATAACAGCAAAACAATTAAAGTACCTTTTCCGTAACTGCAAGATGTCTCTGGTGAATGTCTTCAATGCCGTCTTGGCGTTGGCAAAGATGATTTTTATTGCAAAACCCAACAAGGACAAGTGGAAACCAGAGAACTACAGGCCTATCTCCCTACTCGAAGTCACGGGGAGTCTTCGAAAAAAATCGTCTCAAACAGACAGAACTGCTACATGGAATTCAACCACCTATTCACCGAAAAGCAGTTTGGCTTCAGGTCCCACCTCAGCACACAACATGCTATAAATATCATCTTTGATGCGGTGGACAGCCTGAGGCAGCAAGGGAACCTGGCCCTAATTGCAACTAGGGACGTACACAAAGCCTTCGACAGCCTGTGGCACGACGGACTCCTATTCAAACTCTTAGACCTCCCAGATCACAACTGGACATTTCTCATGCTCATATACAATTTCTTAACAGGTAGAAGTATCTTTCCCACCATCCATGGTGTGGAAAATACTGTATATATTTTCCAGAAATACGGTAATTTATAGGTAAATAGATGGCCTATACTGTATTTAATAATATTTGTCATAGAAAACGGAAAGCCTGCGTCTGGGCAGGAGACTCGCCATCTTGGTTTCGAATTTTGTACAAACGTTGGTGTAATGGGAAGAATTTTTCGTGCTCTAGAGGTTAAAATTGTGCTGACACCTCTCAAATAGGAGGCGAAATTGGTGGATGTGCATTTCTGCATAACTTGAGATATCAGACGACTGGACAAGACAGCTCCAGGAACCTCAGGTAAGCTCTCTAGATTTGTGTGTAATTCTGGCCAGCATTATTTTCATAGATTTAGTTAGAGTGAGGTTTTCTGAGTATGATACACATTAATCTCCAGTCAAATTGGTGAATGATATTAAGATATATTTTCCTTCTGTTATGTAATTGTGTATATATATAACCATTTATTATTTTTAATATACAGTCCACAAATTTATATATTTACCAGTATTCCTGGTGTATGTATATTTCATTTAATTAATAAGTCCAGAGCAACTTGTGGTTATGACAGTGGTAGGTATCGAAGGGGGACATTTTTTTGCGACCTAGGTGTCCCAAATTCATACTTGTCTATGTAACATTGATAAATAATAATCTTTGTTATCATTTACTGTTATGTACATAATTAGTTACATTCAGATAAATGCAATTTTCCACACATGGTAAGGCAGCAACACCCTTCACACCGACAGCTGGAGTGCCACAGGACTCATGCCTCAGTCCTATACTCTTCAATATATATGTCAATGACCTCCCCCAACCTGAACACAATGATACCATCATCACCCAATTTGCAAATGATGTTATCCATGTAGTTTCATCAACCCCCATATCCGGTGCAAACAAGCACAGGAGAACAATAGAGAAAATGAACGGGAGAAAAAATGGAGAATCACGACAAACCCAGATAAAGTCCTCATCAGCACCATCGGCTGTTTCGCACCAACCGTAGAAGACAAAGGGGGTATTTCCATCAGAGGTTCACGTATAGCTATCAGAAATCCAAACAAGAACCTGGATTATGAGATTGACAGATTACTTCACTCCATATCCCACATAACCAAGAAAGTGAACCTAGCAAAAGTCCTCCTCAGCCAACTATTCCGATTCAAAGTAGCCCCCTCCTACATCAAGAAGCACCTGTATAAGATGATCAGACCTCTGCTTGAATGCCCTAGCGTACCCATGTCACTAACAACTAAAACCAATATGCTACAGCTTCAAAGTGTCCAGAACAGAGCCCTCTGCTTTATCACTGGTACCAGATTTAGAGACAGAATCAGGATGGAAGACCTGCGCATACACTAGGGAATCGCTGCAATTAATGTCAGGCTAGACAAACTAAAGAAGAGACAACTATATGACATGCAGGAACTCTATGTACCTGACAGAGAAAATCCTCCCCAACCATCGAACACCACCGACTACACCATCAACACACCCCCACAGATCCCAAAGAATGACTCGCCAACAGAGTCCGACGCTTCATTCACAAATTCAAATTCAAATTCAAAGTTTATTCTCTATAAGGATTACAATGCTGAGTTTACAGAATTTGGTTATTGTGTTGTTTACATGTAGTAAAATAATAATTACAGAGTGTACCACTAGAACACCTAGCATGGCTAGGCATTTCGGGCAGACTTATATTAAATCTTAAGTTTAAAATATTACAAAATTATGAGGTAAGTTGGTATTATGGCTAAGTGACTAAATACTAGTTGTGAGTTTAGCAATGTGAATGCTTTTGTTTTGACACTATACATAGTTTCAGTATTGGAGTATCACAGGCCAACTTATGACTAGTTAAGATTCATTATTTTGAGACTGAGATTGATATTTCTGTTTATGGTCAAATGGGTGAGTGAGTGTAAGTGTGAACCACCAGGTGGTATTCGTATTATTAGTTGACAGGGTGTATCAGGGAGATAAGATGTTTTCTGATAGTAGTTTTGAAGGTGAGGAATGTGTCTGCAGTTTTGGAATTTTCAGGTAGGGTGTTCCAGATTTTAGGGCCTTTCACATACATTGAATTTTTGTAAAGGTTTAGTCGGACACGGGGAATGTCATAGAGATGTTTGTGTCTGGGTTGTGCCTGTGGGTTCTGTCACAACTATCAAGAAAGCGTTTTAGGTCAAGGTTAATATTGGAATTTAAGGCCCTGTAGATGTAGATTGCACAGTAGTAAGTGTGGATGTACTGAACAGGAGTAAGTTAGATCTATGAAGAGTGGGGGGGGATGTGTTGCCAGGGATGGGATTTAGTGATTATTCTTACTGCGGCTTTTGTTGGGTTATTATTGGCTTTAGGTGTGTTGCTGCAGTTGAACCCCAAGCACAGATAGCATAGGTGAGGTATGATATATAAGTGAATGGTATAGTGTGAGAAGGGCAGTTTTGCGGCACGTAAGTATCGTATCTTGGAGAGGATCCAACCGGTTTGGATACTTTTTTGGTTATATGTTTGGATATGGGTGCTGAAGTTCAGGTTGTTGTCGAGGTATAGGCCTAGGAATTTGCCCTCATTATGCCTGGCAATTAGAGTGTTGTCGATCTTAATGTTAATTTGCGCATCTCCTGCTCTGCTACCAAACATAATGTAGTAGGTTTTGTCAACGTTAAGCGTAAGTTATTGGCTGTCATCCAAGTCAATATTTTGATCAGCTCCTCATTAACAATGGTGTTGAGGGTGGCAAGATTAGAGTGAGAGATGACATAAGTCGTGTCGTCAGCAAAGAGAATGGGGTTCAGTGTTTGAGATACGTTTGGAAGATCATTGATGTATGTGAGGAAGAGCAGGGGACCAAGGACACTTCCCTGCGGAACTCCAGTATCAAGTGGCTGTGTTGTTGATGCTGTGTCTTTAATGGTGACATACTGATACCTATTAGTAAGGTAAGATTGAATATGCAAGCGCATGGCCTCTTATACCATAATGGTCAAGTTTGTGGAGTAGGATGCCGTGGTCTACTGTGTCAAAAGCTTTTCTTAGGTCAATAAAAATTCCTAGTGGATATTCTTTATTTTCCAATGCTGTGTAAAGCAGATCTAGCATTTTTATGATTGCATCGTTAGTGCTTTTATTTTTCCTGAATCCAATTGGCAGGGGTTGAGTATGTTTTGTGACGTTATAAATGAATACAGTCTCCTGTGCACGA